CACAATCACACAGTCACTGAGAAGTTAGGTCACTAGTTCCTTAGAAGGATGAGTATTCAAAACTAGCCATAACTGAATTTACATACACCCTGGTGAAAATTCCACATATAAATTGGTTGAAATTCTTTTTAATTTACTATACTATCTTTCACTTTTGTCCGTAACGTGATAAATGAGGCTGTCACTGGAATAATGAAAATAGGACACACATCTTGGCTTATCACAACCTATGTTTAAATCTTGAGCACACTGCCTTTAACTGTCATGACTACTCATTTTTTCTGTTTATTATCAGTGATACTACTAATCATCAAGATTATATATACTTATGATAATGAGTCAAGCCTTAAGAAAGTCTATGAAGTGTATTGCTTATCACAACCTATGTTTAAATCTTGAGCACACTGCCTTTAACTGTCATGACTACTCATTTTTTCTGTTTATTATCAGTGATACTACTAATCATCAAGATTATATATACTTATGATAATGAGTCAAGCCTTAAGAAAGTCTATGAAGTGTATTACTAGTGTTACAAAAATAAGATAAAGAAGTGCACTTTTTCCATGGTCATTCCAACAAACATGACCATCATAACACAACTTGAAACAAACAGGTTATTTTCAGACACTACTAAGTAGGAATGCAATTTTTTTTCTCTCTCTCTTTAAGCATTATTGTCAGTCTTATATTCATGTTCCCCATCTACTTGGCAATACAGGCTCTGGCAACAATCACACATAGAAAAAACATTTTGGTTTAAATTGTAATAAAATATATGTTTTAAAAACTCTCATAAACCAAATCAAATTTCCATTAACTCCTCAGTGACAGGTACGGATATAGGCATCATGATGTAATCATGTATATAACTCACTCACTCAGAAAGCGGCCAGCTGCACATAGCACAAGCCCTGTAAGAAAGACTAAACTGTTGCGTAGTAATTATGTCACAAAATATTTTGACCCCATCATAATGGGCTTAATGACGGCATTATCACAGTTTGAAGGTTGAAAAAATGTAAATGCACTTTTCTACAAAAAACACTTTTAATATGTGTCCTTATATATGACATGCATCTTATGATAATGAGTGTATAGCTGCAGTACACATGATATGAAGGGAAGGCCATTTTTTTTATTGGGTGTGCTATTTGCTATGGGAAAAGTCCAAAATACCCCTCCCCACCACATTTTTGTAAGAAAACTATTCTGAACCACTGCACTCATGAGGGGGTAAACTAGAAAACTTGTTCATTAATTCTACCTTGTGTTCAATAACTAATGTGAGGAAAAGAAAAACAAAAGTATATATATGACAATCAAAAACTTACGTACAACTTTTTAGAAAGATAACTTGAACTTAAACTTAAACATTATTAAACAATAACAACTCAATAACAACCTTGAAAGCTTCATATATTCTTTGTATTACAAATACTTACCATTCAAACATATTTTTTCTGAAATTTCAGTCAGTATGTTTCCTAAGAAAAAGACTGTCTCACTCTAGACCACACACAATAAGAAAAAACTACAAAATACACATACATCTTCCAAGAAACACATATTAAAAAGATGTTAATTCCTTGTATTTTTTAGCCAGAGACAAAACTGTGAAATCCAAAATTTAGAAATCACGACCCACAGCTTGAAAGCTACACATTTGAAACATTGTGTAAAATGTTGCTGTCTTTCCCTTCTTTTGCAAATTAAATATTTCTCACAAAGCATTACAAATTATCACAACACATCCTTAAGCTACCATGGCAAATAAAAAGAAAAAAAAATCTTGTTACAGTAATGTGAAGGTTACAGAATGTATTAAGCAGGAATGTCCAACATGCAAGGAATGAAGGAAGTACTAACCTGTTTTCCCTTTTCATATGGCACCTCCTGGGTGTCACGAGAATTTGTTACAGGTTTGTTCTCATTGTTCTCCAGCCGAATGTGCCGCAGTTGGCTATTTGGAACGTCCTTTACAAATATCCACTTCACTCGAAACTGGCCTTTCCATTTGTCTTGGGCCCACACTGATGATGATGAGTTGTAGTCTACAGTGGAAATCATGTGGGCTAATCCACAAAAATGTCCAGATCCATTCACTGAGAAGAAAAGGTACACTGGCCCCTTACCCTCTCTTTCACGGAAAGCAGAGTCAAGACGCTTGTTGCCGTGTTCTGTGGAGCACCATATCTCATATTTGATAGAACGGTGAATATCGTCCTCTGAATAAGATTTAATCACAAAGAAACGTGCATTTTTAGGACTAAGGTCAAAATCCTTAGGGTTGTAGTCATTGCGCATTCGCAAGTCTTCCAAGATACCATCATCTGTCTGTAGCTCGTTAATCTGTCCTGGGGCATGAGACATGGGCCGGGACACAGGTACCGGTGGCCCACTCTGAGGTGACGGGGCAAGTTCCATGTTGGAGTGCATTCCTCCTCCCGCAAGCATGGGTGCTTGAGGGGGTTGCTGCTGCTGGGGTGATGGAGGCAACTGCTGTTGCAGTTGTTGGTTCTGGTGCTGCTGGTGCTGGTGCTGGTGCTGCTGGTGCTGATGTTGCTGATGTGACTGGTGTTGCTGCTGAGGATGCATGTGCTGCTGGTGTGGGTGTTGCTGGAGTGACTGCTGTTGCTGCTGATGCTGTTGTGGGGATGCCTGCAGCTGCTGCTGTTGCTGCTGCTGCTGTTGTTGCTGTTGTTGTTGCTGCTGTTGTGGTTGACCTGGCTGCTGCACTTGCTGAGGCTGAGGCACCTGGGGTGGGGTGCGAGGTGGTGGGGTAGAGTATGAAGCAGAGGTAGTGGATCGCGTGCCTCCTCGTGGAGCTTCCCATGCAGGGCGGGGGACAGGTGGGGGTGCAACGGGTTTCGGTCCACCTCCATTCTTCCCCTCCCAGGTTCCAATGTCCATATGACGACCAGGTACAATGGAGGACATTGTAGTCTTGTCTCGCCGTCTATTTGGTTGAGGCTTGGCTGGCTGGGAGGCAATACTAGCCCAAGACATACCCTTCTTTGGTTGCCCGAGTCCAACTGATGTTTCTCCTCCTGGACTGCTGGCCCCACTAGCCTTAACTTCAACTCCCCCACTCCCATTAGTGGCTGCATTTTTATTAGCTCCAGGTCCACCTTCCCTAGGCAAATCCTGACCTGTTTTGGGGTCAGCAAGAGTTAGTCCCTCTACACCTTGATCCAAAGCTTTTACACGTTCATCTGTGTAGACATTATCTCGCTGGTAGTAGTCGTCGTACTGCTTGTTCCCTCCACGAACCTCTGACCCTCCCCATGCATTGTAGTCACCATTCCCATGAAAACCATAGTTAAAGCCGGGAGGGTTGAAGCCACCAAAACTGCCACTACTGAACATGCCATCAATGGCACTGTGTGAGTCATATCCCATCTGTCCGCCATAACCTCCGAGGAAAGTCTGCATGTGGTCACCCCCATTACTCCAAGTGCCGTCTCCAACGCCGAATGCCTGTAAAGACCAGGAGAAGATTAAGAATAGTTATATCTATTATAAAGCAATAGATCTTAAATGACAAAGAAAGAGAGGTCATTACTCTTTAAATATCATGCCATAATTTCCATGGTTCTTTCTTATGAGTATCTATAAAATCTGAAATGAAACTTTTTTTATTGGTAATTCTAAATAATCAATTACTTGGTCTATATGACAAATAGCAATTCAGTTTATTAAAAATCCTGGTATTATGATTATTGTCACTAATCATATATGTAAAGAGACTAATTTCTTTTTCCAAGCAATGACAAACTGCCTACTACTCAACCAGCTCAAATTCTAAAAAAACATCAGATTATTCAGCTTTAGAAGAGACAATTCATTACCTTAAATGGAAAACAGGGCCAGTACATAAAACTAAAAGAAAGCACGCACACACACAAGCACGCACACACACAAGCACGCACACGCATGCATGCACGCACGCACGCACGCACAAAAAGCCTGCTAATAAATTACACAGGTCCTTCAGATAGGATACCAACCTGGTAAGGAGTTGAGGTCATATAGTAAGACGACATATACGGGTCAGAAGCAGCTGCAGCCGCGGCCATCGAAGATGTCATGGGACTAGTGTAACTCTGGAATGAGGAGTAATTCTGCCCGGAAATTATACTGATTTCTTCCATCAGAACACAAATCTTAAATCTAATTCAAACACTAAGCTATATTTCAAAATGATGAATCATGCATATGTACAAGAAATAAATTTCTCGCGACTGAATATATTTACTGAATATATCTATAGCACTTTACAGTTCAACTGTACCCAGAATATAAATCATACATGTTCAGACCTCCATAAGCTAGTCTACATTACCAAACACTGAAGTGAAGTTTTCGCATTAAAGGTCACATAAGTTACCTGGTCTTTCGGCCCATTTGGCACTGCAAAGGAAATAATTTTAGATATTATTATCATTTTCACAGGGATAGACTACTCTTTTATCAAAATTCTTATAAACCCTACTCGCGTTTCCATATAACATCTTCCTCAATGGGTAAACAACTAAGAGACATGTGTCCTGATAAGCTCAGATGAGGACACAGGAAAACCATACCAATATTCCCACAGCATCTTGGAATATGATTATGATGATTTCAATACACATCAGGCCTTCAGAATGATTATGGGAAATCTCTAAGTAACATCTTTCATACCACAATATTTAACTGTCATTAAACAGAGTAATCTGACGATATTCATCAATACGAATATTAGAGGACAAATAATATTGTAAAATCCACCAAATGAACAACTCTTAATCCCAAAGATGTCAAAACAAAATCATACTAACAAAATTACACTTCATCATCATATTAACAACAACAAGTATAAAAGAAAAAGAAAAGGTACAAAAATAAACATTACCAATGTAACCATTTAAAAAAGCTAATACAAAAATAAAATTACTAAACATTAAAAATAAAAGATAAAGAACAACAATAAAAGAAAATAATTTTAATTACACATATTCTAATAAAACATGTAACATTAAATGTAATTAAAAAATAATAATAATCAAAACAACAACATAACATCACTCTTAACAAGTGTAATATTAACATGACCCAAAACATAACAAAACAATTGCTGCAGCACTGGCAAAATTGCCAATAGGTATCAAGAAAATTTCATATTGCATATATTTCAGGATGGAGCATTGTACACATGTCAGTCTATATCATACTATAATCAAGTTTTTTGACTAGACTACATTTCAGATTTATTTTATTTCTTTATAAACAATTTCTAAAGAGAAAAAAATACAACCTTAACATAACAATTGTGATAATGGCAGTATGCAAAACATATAGTATGTACCACAATAAAACTCTGAACCACTGTGATCCTGCAATAAATGGCAAATTTAATTTCTGGAGTAAAAAGATTTTTAAAGAATGAAAAACTAATAACAATGTTACAAGAAGTAATGTAATAGGAATAACACTGGTAGTAATGGCATTATAACATTAATCTTGATGATGATGAGGCAGAGACAGGGAAACAGAGACAGACAGACAGACAGACAGAGACAGAC